CATAAATAAATAAAAATTTAAAAAATATATTAAAAAAATTAGAAAATTAGGAGATCCCTGGGTGGCTCAGTGGTTTAGTGCCTGCCTAGGGCATGAGCCTGGAGACCCGGGGTTGAGTCCCACGTTAGACTCCCTGCAGGGAGCCTGCTTCTCCGTCTGCCTGTGTGTCTCTCTCTCTCTCTGTGTCTCTCATGAATAAATACATAAAATCTTTAAAAAAATAAAAAAAGTTAAAAATTTAAAAAATTAATGGAGAGATATATTTTGGGTGTGATGATAACAGTGAAATAAAATAAATTCTTCTTAAGTTAATTAAACTAATGCCATCTCAATGAAGTTCCCGATGTACATTTTTATTCAATGTGTCAGAGTTCATATGAAAAAGAGAATGCACGATTCAAAAAAATTCAAAAGTAAATAGTGGAATAGCTGCCAAAATACGTATTTTGGGTCATAGTACTTAAATTACTTGGGTCATAGTAATTAAAATAGTGTGGTATTGGAGGAGCCCCGGCTGGCTCAGTCAGTGGAGGGTACAGCTCTTGATTTCAGGGTCATGAGTTCAAGCCCCACGTTGGGCATAGAGATTACTTAAGGATAAAAAAAAAAAAGACCAATAGCAATAAGCAATAGTGTAGTATTAGAATGAGATCAAGTGGATTGATCAGTGGCAAGAACCAGGTCCGTGTTTAGATGGAAGTTCAGCTTACGATAAAGGTGACATTTTAAACAAACAGATTTGCACAAACGGTCCTGGTTTAAACTGCAATCCGTTTGGTGGTGACTATTTAGTCATTTATCCATCAAATACTTGTGAATGCTGAACACGGGCCGGCACCATGCACGTGGACGCTGGAGTGGAGCAGTGACCAGAACAGACAAAGGGACAAAACCCTGTGGCCTCGTGGAGCTGACGTCTGGTGAGAGAGGCAGTCAATCAATGAAATAAATAGGTAAGTTCTATAGTCTATGAGAGATAAAGGAAGGGTAGGGGGTGGGGAGAGAAAGGGCGGTTTAAAATAGAAAGGACTGGAAGGACGTCAATGAAAAGGTGATATTTCAGGGACGTCCGAGTGGTTCAGCGGTTGAGCATCGGCCTTCGGCTCAGGACGTGACCCCTGGAGTCCCACGTCGGGGTCCCCGCAGGGAGCCTGCTGCTCCCTCTGCCTGTGTCTCTGCCTCTCTCCCTCTTTCTCATGAATAAATACATAAATAAAATCTTTTTTTTTTAAAAAAAAGGTGATATTTCAGTTAAAACTCAAAGGCGACGAGGGCGTTGGCCTCGCAGACATCTGAAGGGCCATCTGAGCTCCGGGACTGGGCAGGGCAAAGGCCCTGAGGTAGGAGCATGGTTGTGGGTTTTGAGCTCTAATATATGGACTTGAACTTTCACCCTGAGGGACCGGCAGGCATTGGAGGACTGTGAACAGCAGAGTGACAGGGGCCACTTTCTGCTTTAACCAGACCATTGTGGGGGCTGGGGGAGCATAGATCGTGGGCGCCAGAGCCGGGTGGTGCCTGCGGTTACCAGCTGGGCCGGCCTGGGGCTTGGATGTGTTTCGAAGATAAGCAGGATTTGCTGATAGGCTGGGTGGGCGAGGGAGGAGAGGAGCCGGGCCACGTGGGGGGCTTGATCTGAGCATGGGGGCCGGAGCCACGGTCTATAAGGTGGAGGAGCTGCAGTCTACAGGGGCGGGGGCGGGGGGGGAGCTGCCATCTACAGTGGCAGCAGGGAGCCGTCTATGGGGCGGCTGCAGTGGGCTGACCGCAGCTCCCCCACCCCTTCGCGTGTTCCGGAGCCTCCCGCGCCCCTCCCCAAGCCTCCCAGGCCCCCCACCCAGGGCTCCTGAGCTTGGCGGCTGCGCCCTGAGCCCCCAGCGCAGAGCCCCGCACGAGCCCTCGGCGCAGCCCGCTCCCCGGAGTCCAAAGGCGAAGGATGGCGGGGAAGAAGGAATGAAACAGCTCATTAATAACTGTTTTCTACTGATAAGTGGAAATGACGCTATTTTGGATATATTTGGTCAGATAAAATACATAATTTACATTAATTTCACCTGGTTTTTTTTTCACCTAAAAAAAAAATGTGGCTACCAAAAAGCTGCTTCGCGGTCTAAGAGGCCTGCATGATGCTTGTGCAGGGCGGCGCTGGTGTAGCCGGGCCCCGTGTGTCAGCCAAGGACGAGCCTGGACCCCCCCAGGTGAGGAGCTTGAGGCGGAGCCGGAGTCCGAGGGAGGCCAGAAGAGGCCTAGGCGGAGGTCGCAGGAATAACAGGGGGCACCCGGCAACCAGCGCTGGGAGCAGGGGGCTCGCCCTAGGCACCTGCCGTGCCGAGCTGGGGGCACCCCAGGTGACCCTTGGGGCAGGCGGCTGGGTCACAGCTGCTGAGAGCGACTCGTTCATCCGCTGCTCCCCACTTCCCACAACTGCCCTTGGCCGGAGGTGTCACAAGGGACAGGAGAGCGGCCCAGGGTGGGCGTTGGGGACGCAGAGGGTCCCCAGGTGGGGAGCTGCCAGTCACCTGAGGACAGGTCAAGGGGGAGGTGCCAGAGCCAGGGAAGCCCAGAAGGAAGGTGCAGGGGCCCTGCCCTGGGCTCAGGGAAAGGCCCCCCCCCCGCCCGGGCCAGGCCGCCCCCTCCCCCCAGCGGCCTCACCAGGGAAGAATAGAGACACCCGCTAGGGCCCTGGCACGGGTAGGGTCCTCACAGCGTTCCTGAACCAAGTCAGGACTCGGACTCGGGGCCCTGTGGCCTGTGTCCTCAGCCACTTCTCAATGCCCAGATAGTCATGGGGACACGGGCAGTGACAGAGGCTCTTCCCTCGGACAGCCCGAGGCCCCGTCTGGCTGGCGGTTGCCCCAGCGCCACGGCACCTGCCCGCCCAGCTCCCCGAGGGGAGACCCCGCAGCCTTCGTTCGCTCCTCCGTCTAGTGGACCAACCCACTGAGCCACCGCGCTCCCTGCCCGCGGGGACAGAGACGGGCGGGAGGCCGAAGCCCGACCACGACGACCACGACGCAGCCAGTGTTTTGGAAAATGCCCCCCGGGGGCGGGGGGAGGTGGGCAGAGGAATTGGCCGCGGTCCCCAAGGGGAGCTTGGCAGGCGCTGGGGCAGGCACAGCCCGAGTCCCTCCCTGGCCCGTGTCCCGAGAGCTCTGAGCCTCGTTCCGGTGACCCCGAAGGCCAGGCCGCCCCTCTGGCCCCCGCTGCCCCCTCCCACCTCTGACTGTCCCCTCCGCACTGGATAAACAGCACCTCCACCCGCCTGCCTCCTCAATCCCTCACGCTTCACCAGAATTAAATTCATCATTCATTTTTTATGGTTTATACATGGTGTAATTTATGTTTTCAAATATATTGAGGTCACACTTTAGCAGAAAAAAAGTATTTCACATTGAAATTGAAGGCATGTGTGTTCCATTAAATGGGGATGTTTGGGATAATTTTAAAAGGCTAAAAGTAGTAGAAAGTAACATTAAAATAAAATTTGAGAGATGTAATTACCCCTAATCGCACCATAAAATAATCAATACTGCATTCCATTATTTCTGACTTCCCTAGTTATAGCTTTTTTTGTTAAGCTCTTGAATATTGATGAGGTGAAAGGGTCGTGTCTTCTGGCGGAGGTCTGATGGAGGTGGAATTAAGGTGGTGTCCTCCCCGATTATCCCGGGGAGACCGCGAGCCGCTCCTCCTCGGCTGTGACTCCCAGGGGCCCGCCCCAGCTCCCCGCTCTCTGCTCCGATGCTCCCTCGCCCCCTCGTCCCCCGCGGGGCCTTCGGGGAGGCCGGACGCCACGGAGGCAGGCGCGCTCGCTCGGCTCCGGCCTTGGGCTCTCCCCGCGCCGGGCCCCCACGCCTGGCCTCCCCGACTCTTGGACAGCCCTGCGCGGCGTCGGTGAGACTCTCCCCTCTACAGGTGCCCACGCTGAGGCTGGGGGGGCGACGCTTACCAAGGGGCTGGGCTGGGAGCCGGGGCGCCAGCAGGGGCTGCGGACGGGCTGCACCCACCGGCCGAGGATGACTGAGGGCCAACCTCGAGGACCGTTGTCACTGGCCACAGTGGCGTGGAATTAGCCAGAAAACCTCTGGTTTCCTTTGGGACACCTGAGAATTTCCACCCCTTCCCTACCATGTATGTACTTATTTATTTTTATTTTTAAAGATTTATTTATTTATTCATAAGAGACCCAGAGAGAGAGGCAGAGACACAGGCAGAGGGAGAAGCAGGCTCCATACGGGGAGCCCAATGCAGAGCTTGATCCCAGGACCCCGGGGTCACGCCCTGGGCTGAAGGCAGACGTCCAACTGCTGAGCCCCCCGGGTGCCCCCTTCCCTACAATTTGGAGAATGGGTTTACTTCTCTGAGCCTTCACGTTCTCATCTGCAAAATGGGAGTAACACTAGAGTGCCCTTCACTGAGTGAGGAGTAAGGGAGCCCCTGCTGACTGCAGTTCCAGGGGACGGGCCAGCCAGTGGTAGCTAGGAGGGTGACACTAATGAAGGTGTCGTTTCTTTTCCCTGGCCTCAGTTTCCCTGTGTCTAAAATGTTGTGGGTGGGGCACTTGAACTGGACGATAGCAAGGCCTGTCTCTCTCCAACGTGTGTTCCATGATCTGTGCCGCAAGGTTCTGCCGAGGTGGGGAGACCCGCCTGTGTGCCAGCCCACAGAGGGCCCTCAGAGGTTTCTCTCACCAGGCCCCCATCCTCCCACAGTGCTCCTCGCCCCTCTTCCCCTCACCTCAAAGACCTCTCATCTTTATTTATTTATATATATTTTAAAAGATTTTACTTATTTATTGAGACACACACACACAGAGAGAGAGAGAGAGAGAGGCAGAGACACAGGCAGAGGGAGAAGCAGGCTCCACGCCGGGAACCCGATGTGGGACTCGATCCTGGGCCTCCAGGATCACACCCCAGGCTGCAGGCAGCGCTAAACGGCTGCGCCGTAGGGGCTGCCCAAACTCTCATCTTAAAAACAAAACAAAACAAAAAAAACTACACCCAGCATGAGGTTCAAACTCATGACCCTGAGATCCAGAGTCCAATGCTCTACCAGCTGAGCCAGCCAGGCGCACCAAACTGGTACCTTTTCAAGCTGCAGATAGTTCCCCTTGGGCTTAGGACTGGACCCTGTGGTAGTCTACCTACCTAATGTGGGCACCTGGGTGGCCTTTCAGGCCCCGGAGCTGGGATTTTGAAGTCTGGGCACCCTCACACCTTCCTGTCCACCCAGACACTCTCATGTCCAGCATACGCAGGTGTCTGCTCTCAGGATACTTGTGCCCCAGAATCATGACATCTCCCTGCTCAGAATCCAGATGAGCAAACACTGGACACCTCATAGCTGCATTATTCACAGTAGCTGAAAAGTGGCAACAGCCCAAATGTCCACAGATGGATGGATGGATGGATGGATGGATGGATGGTGGATGGTGGATGGATGGATGGTGGATGGATGGTGGATGGTGGATGGATGGTGGATGGTGGATGGTGGATGGTGGATGGATGGTGGATGGTGGATGGTGGATGGATGGTGGATGGTGGATGGTGGATGGATGGTGGATGGTGGATGGTGGATGGTGGATGGATGGATCGTGGATGGATGGTGGATGGTGGATGGATGGATGGTGTATGGATGGTGGATGGTGGATGGATGGATGGTGGATGGTGGATGGATGGTGGATGGATGGATGGTGGATGGTGGATGGATGGTGGATGGATGGTGGATGGTGGATGGTGGATGGATGGATCGTGGATGGATGGTGGATGGTGGATGGATGGATGGTGTATGGATGGTGGATGGTGGATGGATGGATGGTGGATGATGGATGGATGGTGGATGGTGGATGGATGGTGGATGGATGGATGGTGGATGGATGGATGGTGGATGGTGGATGCATGGTGGATGGATGGATGGTCAGATAGATGGATGGACGGATGGATAGACGGTGGATGGTGGATGAATGGATGGATGGTGGATGGATGAATGGATGGATGGTGGATGGATGGTGGATGGTGGATGGATGGTGGATGGTGGATGGATGGTGGATGGTGGATGGTGGATGGATGGATCGTGGATGGATGGTGGATGGTGGATGGATGGATGGTGGATGGATGGTGGATGGTGGATGGATGGATGGTGGATGGTGGATGGATGGTGGATGGGTGGATGGTGGATGGTGGATGGATGGTGGATGGATGGATGGTGGATGGTGGATGGATGGTGGATGGATGGATGGACGGATGGATGCATGGTGGATGGATGGATGGTCAGATAGATGGATGGACGGATGGATAGACGGTGGATGGTGGATGAATGGATGGATGGTGGATGGATGGATGGTGGATGGTGGATGGATGGATGGTGGATGGATGGACGGATGGATGCATGGTGGATGGATGGATGGTCAGATAGATGGATGGACGGATGGATAGACGGTGGATGGTGGATGAATGGATGGATGGTGGATGGATGGATGGTGGATGGTGGATGGATGGATGGTGGATGGTGGATGGATGGATGGATGGTGGATGGATGGATGGTGGATGGTGGACGGTGGATGATGGATGATTAATGGATGGAGGATGGTGGATGGACGGATGGATGGACGGATGGTGGATGGACAGAGTGCGGTACATGCATGCAACGGAATATTATTCTGCTATAAACTGGAATGCGGTCCTGGCCGTGGCATGGAATAGCCCGGAAACGCGATGCTCAGTGAGAGCCAGACACAGAAGGCCAGATGGCGCATGACTCCATTTGTGCGCAGTACAGAGAACAGACGGATTCAGAGACGCAGAAGGAGAACGGTGACCGGGGACTAGGGGCATGGAGGCGGGGGTCAGGGTTTAATGGGTACAGAGGGGGCGAATCCAGCAAAGGGAGATCCACAGAGGAAGCAGGCAGATTAGCGGCTGCCCGGGGAATGGGGAAATGGGAGTGACCGCTTACTGGGTATGAGGTTTCTTTTTGGGGTGATGCAAAAGTTCTGGAACTGGACGGTCACATAACATTGCGAATGCACTTAATGCCACTGGTTGTGTCCTTTAAAAATGCTGACAGTGTTAAATTTTGTGTTCTGTGTATTTCCCCCCAATAAAAAAATGAAATTTTTAAAAAACATCTGGACGCCCTGAGCCCGGCCCACGCCCTGTGCGGGGTTCTCGGCACCGGCTGCTCAACCCCAGCTCGCTGGGAGCGGGGACATCAGGGCGCTGACGGGCAGCCTCGCTCCCTGTGTCATTACCATTAATAATAAACAACAATAGAGTGTATTTTTAAAACTTTCCCTAATGGAGATTCCCAAGCAGCAACCAGAACACTCAGGTTACCCACTGGTCCCCCAAAGACACTGACACATAAAAGCCATCGGGCCACGAGGCCGGGGTGAGGTGGCTGCTTCCTGGCATCAGGGCAGTGCCCCTCATCCCCACAGCCCACCAGCTAGCCCCCCAGCTCTATCCGGAGGTGCCAGGGACAAAGCAAAGGGGGGTTTCTGCATCCCGCGGGGTCTCGTCAGTGCCCCCCCTCGGACTCAGAGTCACCCACAGCTTCCCTCTCTGCCTGTGCCTCTGGGGCCCTGGCCTGAGGGTGTTGGGGTGTAGCGGGCGGCACCGACCACCTGTGCACCCGGCACCGTCCAGCAGCCTGCAGACACCGCTAGTCCTCCACAGCGCATTTCGGGGGAACCGGGGGCCCCGTCTGGGGGGGCACCCTCAGGGTCTCCCCGCGAAGAAGCCGCAGAGCAGGACTCAGAGCTGCCAACGGGGCCACGGTCAGCCCTAAAGTTTCCTGCCGCTGCTCAGCACAGACGGAGCAGTCACCGGGGAGACCTTCCCCCGGGGAGCTCAATTCCCAGCCTCAGTTTCCTCACCTGTTCAGAGAGCCACGGCAGCAGCCCCTCCCCGGCTGGGGGGCTTAGGGATGCCGCGCGTGAAGTCAGTGCTGAGCAAACGGTGCTCATCCTCCCAGACACGAGGCCGAGCCCGGGCCGGGTGGCTCACCCCGGCCGCCTTCCCTGGACCCCTGGCACCCCGGCCCCTGCCCGCGGGCTGTGCCGCGCGGAGGCCCACCCTGTGCGGGCCACTCGTTACACGCCCTGTGGAGCGGTCCTCCCGGCGGCCCCGCCCGGGAAAGCCTGTCCCCCACGTCACAGAGACAGAGACAGGGGTCCCGGGGCCCAGAGCTTGCGGGGTGGGGGTTCCCAGCCAAGGGCCGTTGTTCCAAACACCGTGCGGTGACCGGCTGGGGTAGCAGGGTCCAGCCATTAGGCAAACTCTGCGTCCATTCCTGGATTCTTTTTTTTTTTTTTAATTTTTATTTCTTTATGATACAGAGAGAGAGAGAGAGAGAGAGAGAGAGAGAGAGAGAGGCAGAGACATAGGCAGAGGGAGAAGCAGGCTCCGTGCACCGGGAGCCCGACGTGGGATTCGATCCCGGGTCTCCAGGATCGCGCCCTGGGCCAAAGGCAGGCGCCAAACCGCTGCGCCACCGAGGGATCCCTATTCCTGGATTCTTAAATGGGTCAGAGACAGGCCTCTGGGTAAGTCCCAGCTCCTGGACTTCGTGAGTCTGCGGGCCTTGGGCAAGTCGCTTCCTCCCTTGTGCCTCAGTTTCCCCATTTTTCAAACTAGGGGTTTGCCTGGAAACCTCTCGGAGGCCCCTCCAAGGCCTGTCATGCGCCCCTGGATGCTCCGTTGGCTCCTCCTCCCCTCTACCCCCGGCCCCTCCTCCTGGTCGGAGCCTCGGGCACCTGCAGGGACGCGGGACGACGTGGAGAACCTGCCGTGGGCCGGGCGTGCCGGGGAGAAGCAGCGGCCCTCAAGGGCTCTCTGTCCCCAGGTCCCCAGCACCGCCTGCCCCGTTTGCCGTGGAGGCCGGGGAGGGCCCCTCCAGGCCCTGTCCAGAGGCCCCGGGGCCCCCGGGTGACCCCGGAGCCAGCCACAGCCCACCCATCGCGGGATTTAATTGGTTTCAATCGACGAGCATAACAAGGAGGCTCTTCAAGGAAGCCTCGGAAATGGAAGGGAGGCCATTAGGAAATTTACATTTGCGAATATGATGTTTAATTAGCAATACCAATAAATTAATAGGAGAATCTTGCTGCGGTTCTGGGTTCATAAAACACCAGCCTCGGTCGGCAGAAGGGGAATGCGGCAGCCGAGGCCCGAGGGGAGGGGTGGCCGAGGGCTCTCCGCCCGCGCCCCGCACCTGCACCCCCAGCCGTCCCTGGATGGGGAGGGGGGCCGGGACCTCCCGAGCTGCCCTCCTGGCCCCGCCGCTGGCTCCCGGGAGATGTCGCCGCCTTCTGCGCCCCCAGGTCCCCGTGTGTCCCGCGGGGACCGTGCCGATGCCGTGAGGATACGGCAAAGCCACGCGGGCGCGCTCGGGGCTCGGGACTCCCAAGGTCCGTCAGGTCGGAGACCCCGGCCCCCAGCGCTGTGCCCCCGCCCCATGACCCGGCTCCCTGACCCCCCGACCCCGGACCTCTGCTCGGGCCCTTCTCTGCTGGTGATACCTGCTCCCTCGCAAAGGCCCAGCCGCACTGAGTCCCCCCGACAGCAGCGGCGTGGCCCGGGAAGCAGGAGGCCGCGGCCACCAGAGCCTCCGTCCCCCGTGCCCAGCAGGGTAATGGGGCCTGCTGGTCGCTCCCTAGGCCGAGGCTGGCGTGGCCCCCATGAGCCCGTCCCCCCAGGAAGCCCCCTCCGCCCTCCCCCCAGGAAAGCTTTTTCCGGCTCTTTCTCCATCTTCTCCGTTTCCACCCCACTTGGTTCATCCCTTCACCACCACGTCTCCCACCGCCCCGTAATGGTCTGGCTCCTGGTTGCCTCTCGCCCTGGGCCCCGAGCCCTCCCATCGCAGCCCTTTCTAGGAATAGAGCCTGCTCCGCCCACCGGATGGATAAATGAATAGACCAGGATGTGGGGTTGAATGTTGCCTCCTCCAAGAAGTCCTCCCGGACTGTCCTAGCCCTGTCTGTATGCGTCGCGTGTGTTTATCGTCTGTCTCTGCCGCCAGGTTGTCAGCTCCTCCAAGGCAGGAACCTTCGTGGCTTTTCTGGCGCCTTT